TGGTTTTTCAAAGCTGAAATCGACGTAGAACTATTGAAAGGGGCAGCAGCAGGGAGCACACTATATACGCAGTCGTTTTTTGGAAAACAGAGCTCACGCAATATTTATGAGGCTTGTCGGCTCATGTCGAAAAGTTTGTTATCAATAAACTCTGCCTCTTTAGGATTAGCTGTTAAAGTCTTCGTTGGGGGACTAAACATTTACGTAGTGTCCGTTCAACAGTCTGTTGTCTATATGCGTCAATAGGTTGAACGTTTCGGCGTAAGTTATATGTATAAGTGGTCCGTGCAAGGCGATCACATTACCTAAAGCATTATGCCTAACAAATTCTTACTTGTTACCTATTTCAGGGACTAACCTTTGTGGAGAAAGGATCTTGCTTGCACCTTATTACTAACCTTTATTGAAAATAGAAAATTTACCGGACTACGATTGTAAGAATCTAGTATGTGACTATAGCTTGCGTTGATAGGTAACTCTTTGTAATATTCAATTCGATCTTCATCAAACCAATAAGGACCCGTCCTTGAGTGTGACCATTGTAGCTAGGACGTAGTTTTTCTAAGGGCACTGTTTGACTAAGACATATTGTACTCTCACTCTGCGGTTTACAATGGCCTAAAAGAAATCGAGTATATGGAAAGATATAACTAATAATGAAATTCTCATTTTTAAGTTCAATATGTTGTAGGTATTCATTCAATTATCTAATTAAAAAAAAAAATGGGCGCCCTGTTTATCTGCAAATTTATCAAACGTATCTATTAGGAAGTAGCCGGACAGAACTCAGGCTCTGCTTTCTGGCGTTCTGCTTCGCAGAGTATCTATATTAAACATTTTAAAGTGAATCAAATATGTCTTAGAAAAACAAAAGATCTAGTTTAGATCGATTCATCTGTGCGTCCCGAAGGGGTTCCTCAGAACAGAGAAAGAGCTTTATCGGCCACGTGTTTTCTCAGATCGGATACGTATCTTCGCCTATCCCAGAAAACGTTATGTTCCAATGTGCGGCTCAGTATGCTGTGGTTGAACAACAAAAAGCTCCTATCTAACCCCCACATCAATAGTTGCTCAAGCCTTATCACTTTCGTGCTGATAACGCCACTCCAACAGTTCTATCCTTTTTTTGGATACATGTATTAAGGATTTCAGTATTGCGGAGCAGGCTCAAATAACACTGGACGTGCTTTCTGAAGAAAAGCGATTGCACCGCTTGTTTTGTCGTTATAGGCGTACAATTGAATATTGAATACTCAGATGATGTAAAACAGGCCCTGCAGAACCTGTAAAATGAATGTATCCGTACCATATCGTAAAGTCATTTTTCTGAGCGGTCAACATTGGCGAATACGTTTCTTGTATTGACCACGCACATGCTGACCTCAAAAAACAGCTATTCTTCTTAAATTCTCATATCAATTCATGTCCTGACATCGATATAGCTTATGTTCCCGCACACAGACAAAGCTTAACACAACGGAAGGAGCAAAGGGAAAATTAGCTACGTGAAGCTTTCTCCTTGTAGAGCGAATGCGATAAATAGATATATAGAAGCGTGCTACAGGGCAAAGGTTCAGCTTGTAACTGTCAGCCGGTCAACCGCCCTCGGGGATGACAATACTCAGAAATATTTTTCGAGCCTGCCCAAAAAGTCTCTCTTCTCCTTAGAAAACGCTGTTCGTCTATAAGAGCAATAACAACAACAACAACAACTGGAAAGGGAAATAGGCACAAAATGAAGATGATAATAATGGAAGAAGCATTACACGGGTGGAAAAGGCAAGTAGTGACTCCAGGGGTACCATTGCATGCGCTAAATTGCGTGGTATTTTCCAGCTAGAACCTCTTATTTTTGAGAAGATCAGTTGGCTCTATAACGCCAGTATCAGGTTAGTGAATCTCTGGCAAACGCATAAGCTACAGGCGCATCTGATGACGCAAACGTGGGCATGATCGGGCAGGAGAAAGGTGTATGGGACCTGTCCGACGCTAACAGGAAGCAGCTAATTCGTAAACGAAATAGGCACAAACTTCGAGCTACAAGCTACACAGAAAGGAGGAATATCGCTATAGGCAGCACATGTCTTATATTTCCCGCCCCCGTCCTTTGGCCAGCGACGTATCCCTGGAGAGGCTCACGTGTTGGCGCAGTAGCGTCATAAAATTCTGATTTGGCATTTTTGTGTTCCAACCGCCATAGCGATTTTCCAAGATCTTGTAAAGAAATGAAATGAGACTTAAGTAAATGTAGTCCGGTTTAATATAATTACCTCTATGAAAACATACTTGTTATTTTTAATGTGTGGCTTACGCCGTCTTTTGGCAAACAGAATTTTTCACTTAAAAAGATAACAGGTAAGTATATGTAACATATTATGGTAAAACAACGAATCTCAAATATAACCAGAGGCAGTACGTCTCGCTGAATGGTGTAACACACAGTGTTGTTTTTCTCAGTTTGTAAAAATTGCCATTTGCATTACCTAGATTATATTTAACATTCGGTTAGGCTATGCGTAATAAAATAACAACTGAACATATTTTGCTGGACAGCACAAGTGTCCTTGCTTGTCGAAATTATAGAGAAGTTGTCTCCATTAACTTGCCGTAAATCATCACAGTTGTAAAAGAAAACAAAGAGCCTCCTTGAGCGTGCAACTACAATAATTAAATATGGCAACTCTGAGAAAAACCATTTTTGCTGCAATGACACGTAATAACACAAGTGTCTTCATTTCTAGGTAAAAACAGGGATTCATGTAAATGACGTTCACCGAGAACGTAAAGCAAGGATTTACAAGCAAAAGATGTAAATGCACTTATACTAAACTTCCGGCGTTTGTCAACGGTACAAGATTTGATCTTACGTGAGGTCCAAAGCGGTTGAATTGATTGTATCACGTTGAATGAAAAAAGAAGCAGATCACGGCTGACTTACGCCGTGCACTTGCCATGCGCACGGTTGGGAATTTTCTTTCTAGGAGGATGTTTCCTCCAGCTGTCGTTTGTTGTATGAGTTCGCATTTCAAGCAAGTTTTCTACCCCTATATGCAGGTCATCTCTTATTCAGCAAAGGTATTGGCATACGCGAGGACAACATGCATATGACGCCTCCTCAATGGCTTCACAGCGTTGTCGTATCATGTTCTGAGTCCTTCGTTTGGCGCTACCTTTCCTTGCTCTCGAGAACTCGGATCCTAAAATGGTGGCTTATATGCCTCATTGTGGCCTGTTAAAAGATAAAATATTATGTAATTTCGCTATTTTGGTTTAGTCAATTGCATCTCACACAACAGTCTATGGTATACAATTAAGGTATCATAACTAGAACAGGACAGGACATTTCGTCCTCTTCTATGTACCCTTATCGATTTGATACTACTAAAGTGGAGATTTAATAGATTTTTTTTGCAAAGCTGCGTTTTTCCACGACGATGCTAAATATATTGCTTCTTTGAATGAAATTTTCTGCACAATGTCGTCTTACCTTCACCGTTATGAGAACCATCAGTGTATCGAAAAAGCTGGCATTTGAAAGGTCTGCAGAATAAATTAAAGGCTAATTTTTTTTACTTTTATCGGTATATAAAATTATCAACGTAACGAAAATGTTGGAATCGTCCCAGATGCTGGGTGTTGTTCGAGAATCTATCAATAGTATACAAGTTCACCTTATAGCTTGCATCATCGTATTACTAACAAACGTCATTATTGAAAATGCGTATCTCTGCTTAAAGATTAATGCGAAACAGATACGTCTGTGTTTTGATTAGCTTTGTTCTCTATGTTCGACATTGAATTATAAAGATGCATATTCCCATTTATTGATGGGTATAGCCCCTTGTGTGTTTTCCACTATCATATACACGACTCTTCATCGAGGGATTCCTTCACGAGGAATTAAAGAAGACACGGAAGTGGGAGGGGAGAGAGGGAATTCGACGAAATTCGAATATACCTTTTAGTTTTGTTGCTTTGCAAGTGAAGCTTTGAAAGGGTTTGTTACCTTTGGAACTGAAGAACTAAAAGCGACTGAACATTCAGTATGCAGATGACATTTTTTGTGGAGCCCCCTCACGCCTACTTGACACTTACATTTAATTATAGAGTCATTGCACATTCTTTCCATCCATCCCCGAGATGGGTCTCCTTCTGCTGCATTGTCACGCTAAAAAATCGGCACCGCTGCTACACTCAGGGCAACACTGCCTTGACGGTAGTCCGGATTCGTTGTTCAGACAATGCGTTTAAGTCGACCACAAACCGCGAAGCATCCCAGTTCCATTTGAGCAGTGACAGATTTTTTTCGAGCATGCGTACAAAATGCTTTACATTTCATGCGAGGGAGAAATACTTCCTACCTCTGTTGCCACTGCATCCTTTCAATTCTAGGAAAATACACAGAATAGAAAATGGAGAAAGCGAGAGATGGCATCGAGACTGTTTCACTTCGCTGAACGACAATTTGTGTTACAACGACACCTCTGAGTTGACTTTTTCGTGGGGCAGTTAACTCAAACTGTACCGCGAACTATGAATCGCTCGTATGTTCACCTACAATTACTATTATTTTCATTTCATTCACTGGAGCTAAAGTGCCCTTTTACTTGAACTTGATCAGTCATCACTGCTCGTGAAATTTTGTGCAGGTTGTAATTTCACAAGCTGTAGGTAACCGTCCGCATGGTCTTGTTGTGAACTTTGCTTAATACTGTTTATTTAAGCTCAGTCTGACAATAATAAAATTACATATTCCTGATCATATATCTTTATGTGCTACAAGAATGGAACGCCTACAAGGGTGCCTCATCGCCTCTACTGATGGCCGACTCAGCTTCAATCAGATCTACTGCTATCGCAGCTTCGATGTGTACAATCGATAAATACCAATCCATATTCATCTCAATCTTTCAATGAAACTTTAGTCGCCATTTCTGTTATTTCCACTTCGTGTTTTTGTTGTTGTTGTTGTTGTCCTTTATACGTCGGTAGTGAGCAGTCAACACCAATAACGGGGCCCATGGCAACGCGGACTCAAACATTTTTGCTCTCCTCTTCCGGCCGCTTTATCAGCATACGCTTCGTCGTGCACGGTGAGTGGCAAAGCATAGTTGAGGGGGTTTCTTGCCTTGATATCACAATACGTCCGGCTATACAACTTTAGTCGCGCAGTTTGTGTTCTATTGGCTGTGTCGACGAGTGTGACGGCCTGGCTGCGTGCATATGTCTGTGTATGTACTTGGCTCAATTTAACCGGAGCGCAATCGGAAATAATATCCAACTTAAAGAGGCAAGATTGCTGTCGGTGTAAAATTCGTTTTTCATTGCCACAGTTACAAGGAAGTAATTAGTCAAGAGCGAGAGAAATATTTGCGACGTAACCGAATTGGCCTCTATCCCAAACTGCAAGATCCGTCAGTCGCTGATGTGGGTGCCAGGAACGTTTGGCCTTAAATTAAAAATGTGCATTTAATTTTCCCGCTATATTATAGTGCCAACGAAGAAAAGTACGAGCAAGCGCCTTTAGTATACAGAGCTTCTCTATCGCGAACCAAAATTTCGGTACGCTTGGTCGTCCCTAAAAGGCAAGATGCTTTTATCCCGCACTAAGCCTGATATAGCCGCCTCATCATCGCACGGAACTTCAGACTCTATAGGTTCATCTGTAGGCGATGGGAAAGTGCCAAGTCAAGAGGAATTCCTGTCTCGACGAGATTTCAATGGAGCCCTCGCGTTGCTCGAGTTCCAACGCAATGCCGGTAAGAATTCGCTCGAAACCGACCTTTGGATTGCGTACTGTGCCTTTCATCTGGGCAACTATAAGCAAGCAGCCGAGGAGTACAATAAAGTTCTGAAGCGAAAAAATACTTCGAAAGAATGCTGGACTTATCTTGCATGCTGTCAATTCTATATGGGACTGTATCAGGAAGCAGAGAACTCCGCAGCCAAAGGCGCTGCTGGAGATCTTCAAAATCGTCTGCTCTTTCATTTAGCGCACAAGGCGGGCGACGAAGCTAAGTTAATGTCGCACCATCAACAGCTACAGGATATACTGGCTGATCAGTTATCGCTCGCTTCTGTACATTATCTCAGAAGGTATCCATACACTCGCTTGAAAATCTTTTTTGCTACATATTATAATAGTGTTTGTTATTATTATTTATGTAATATATAGCTAATAAATGTATTTGGGGTTTAGAAGCAGTACGCTGAATCTGAAAACTGAAGTTAAATAATGATTTTTTTTGCAGTCACTACCAGGAGGCTATTGATGTATATAAGCGCATTCTCCTCGACAACCGAGAATTTCTTGCACTTAACGTTTACGTCGCTTTGTGCTATTACAAATTGGACTACTACGACGTGTCACAGGTGCATGTTACAATTTTGCGATCTAGGTGCCTAATGGAAAGAATATTATCTACCTTATATTTAAATGTAACCTTTTAGAATAATATTAGGTATTCATTACTCGTTTACGTCTACCGCAGTAATTGTATTGAATTCAAAAACTATGAGTCTCGTTGTCTATATAATTCTGTGTGCTCAAACGCGTTTGCACAATTTCGTCCAGTGAATGAACTTTAATAGCAACCAAAATTACCTGAATTATTAGAAATTGTTAGTTAAATTTAATTGGAGGTTTGTTGAAATAAGTCTCCTGATTAAACAAGCTGTCTAAAAAGAACTAGAGGATAGCTACATATTGTAAATGGGAAAATAAGCTAAATTATACACGATAGCTTACTAAATGTATGCATAGATGTCTGAACAGGTCTTCACTAGCCTGATAATTTTTATGTGAGAAAAGGCTGTGTTCTGTTAAGAGGGATCATCAGTTTATCATTATTTGCTTCGTTTCACTATAAAATCATACACGTATAACTTATAAGAAGATAACTGTCGAATGACAGCTAAGCAATCGGCCATCTGTACGTAGTTTAAATACTGCCCTATGTTTTCTTAAATATTTGTCCAGTCTTCATGTAGTTATAACATTATTGTATAATGTTGTGGGTATCACCTTTTTAACCTTATGGAGTTGCCCCTCAACAGGTGAAGTTTTTTGAAAGTTCGAGTAAAATATTGTATCAACATCTGCGCCTACCTATTGTTAAGCTGGCCCTTTTCTGCTACATGTTTTTGCATCTTCACATAGGAAGTGTTAGCTGTGTATCTTCAGCACTTTCCCGACTCGGCGACCGCCATTAACCTGAAGGCGTGCAATCACTTTCGTTTGTACAATGGAAAAGCAGCCGAGGCTGAGCTTGCCCACCTGGCAGAGCTGGCGTCACCGTCATTCGCTTATGCTAAGGATCTAACCCGTCATAATACAGTCGTGTTTCGCGGGGGCGAAGGCGCACTGCAGGTGCTTCCGCCGCTCGTCGATATATTACCCGAGGCGCGACTCAACCTCGTTATCTACCACCTGAAACAGGATGACATCGAGTCTGCTCATGCACTCATAAAAGAGCTTGAACCAAGCGTACCGCACGAGTACATACTTAAAGCAGTCGTGAACGCCGCCGTTGGCCAGGAACAAGGCGCCTATCTCCTGCAGCGGGAGCACCTTAAAGTGGCGCAGCAATATTTTCAACTCGTCGGCGGATCGGCTACAGAGTGCGACACGATACCTGGTCGCCAGTGCATGGCGTCTTGTTTTTTCCTGCTAAAACAATTCGACGACGTTCTGTTGTACCTGAACTCTATTAAGAGTTACTTCTACAACGATGACACGTTTAACTTTAACTACGCTCAGGTAAGTTATGAACAGTAAAGGTACGATTAAATTTGTTGATGATTATATTAAGCTGATCGGAAGCTAACGGCGGTCTTTGCATCCAACTAGAATGCCGTTTTTTTTTAGTTTTTCTTAATTTTTTTATTATTATTTAGTTCAAGGTCTACCAGCAAATGTATTTGATTCGTAGACGTCATCATTGTCGACGCGTTTCTTTGGAGTTTCAGGCAGTTATTTTTTGCTCTCGATCGATTTAGAAGTTATTAATCATTTATTTCGTCGTCTCACAGAAAATTGTTGGATTTGGCTTAATTAAAGAACTCGTCTGGGTGGTCTTTCTTCGTCGTCATATGCACTGTTATGAATTTCATTTGCTAGTGATTGACAAAGGTCCATAATCCATCGGTACGATAATCTGAAGAGTATGGTAAGGTTAAAAGAACGTCCCACTCAAACTCCTGTAAGCCAGCTCTAATTACGTGTACGATGTGAGGGAGCTAGTTGCAATTGTTTGGGTAAGCGTGAGCAGGATGACTTAGCTTGTCTATCCCTTTGACCTAATTGTGTTTTCCTTAAGCGTTTCTTAGTGCACAAAGTCTATTCGATTTCCACCGAACACAAATGATAGTCATTCTTAATGGGTGTCCGGCGTACTTTCCAGAGATAGACATTTATTTGTCTGCTGCTGTACCAAAGTAAAGTAAATCTACGGTCTTTTGTCACGCTTAATAATTCCTTCCCGGCTGGCTGCCGGCTGACATATTGAAAAACGCCATAGTTTCCTGTACTGCTATTTACGCAGCTTATGCGGCACCCAGGCTCCTAATTTTTGTCCAGATTTCATAGATGCAACATCCTTGACAATAACAGAGTGTTTGTTTACCGATATTCTAGATTAATAAAGAAATTGTTTACATTCCCAGAGACTCTAAGGTCTAGAAACACGCTGTGGTCTAGGTTTGAATCCGAGCATAGACAAACGTCGTTTCGTGCTGGGAGCCAGTCGTCTTATGAAACGCTTACCAGGCGTAAAATCAGAAACAGAGAGGTTTGCATCAACCTCCTGCCCTCAGTGGGGTGCATTCTGCGGGTCAAAGTTACTGTTTGTGAAATTAGCAAATCGCTTTAAAGCAGTCCCATATGCACTCGGCATAAATATCTCAAATAATTTTGTTTAGTCCTTGACTTATACTAAACATGAAATGCAATATATATCGAAAACGCATCCTTCTTACCGAAAACATCCACACATTGGAGCTAGAATTGAAGATACTGTCTATTATATAATGAAATTATAACGGATTTACAGAGAAAATAAAAAGCGATTTCAAATGCTATATCAAAGCAATGTAGGGGTAAATGAAAAAATGAACATTTGGCTCACACTTTGCGATTATTTGTTGACCAGCTTCATATTGTACATACTCATAATCTAGAAATATGGATTAGTCCGCACTTTTCGCACCTAACCTAACCCTAACCAGGGGAACCCTAACCATTTTTAATTGTACGGCAAGCTGTCCATGCTCTTCGTTAGTAAAACTATATAATTAGAATTGACTTGGACACGATCGAGTTTGTACAAATTATCTTGTGTGTTTATTATACATTATTTTCGATAGAATACAATGCAAAAAGTGTTGTGTATCAATGCGTCGGTTGCGAAACGATAACTATGTTCGAAAGACGATTACCCGTTACATCTGGAGGGCTTGTTGTCAGACATCATTGTTTCACATTAACGTTGAGTTCCCAACTCGCTCTACTTAGGCTAAAGCGGCAACAGGAGCTTATGCCGAAGCCGAAGACTTATTCCTCTTAATCCAAAGCGACAAAATCAAACAGGACTACGTTTATCAAAGTTGGCTGGTACGGTGCCTCATTATGAACCGTAAACCTCAACGGGCCTGGGAACTCTACGAACGTTTGCAGGATTCGGCTGAATCGTTTAGCCTGTTGCAACTGATTGCAAATGATTGTTACCGTATGGGACAGTTTATAACGTCGCTGCGAGCTTTCGAGCAACTGGACACGATCGATCCCAACCCTGAGTATTGGGAGGGAAAACAGGGAGCAACGTTAGGTATCCTGCAAAAGGTTAGTGTATAATTTCGCACAGCGGTAGCTTATACCTGACATAATAAGTGCTGCTAGATGATTTTTTATATTAGCAATTCCTTAGAAAAGATAACAGTATAATCGCGGCACTAGCATCAGGCAGCTAAATGGCCTCGCGGTTGGTAACAAGTGACTTTTGAAGTTTCTAGCGGATTCTCCGCGAGGCATACTAATCATTTTATGTGTCGTTGTTTTGAAGGTGATCGCTGGACAGGAACCTAAAGAATCACTCTCGTTCGTGTGGCAGCTTCTCAAAAAGAGCAACAATCCTCATGCAGAACCCATTATTCGTGCAGTGCAGACCTGGGCCAAAGAGAATCGAATGCCTCTCTAAATTGAAAAAAGATAATGCTATTTTTTTAAATATGAGCACGCCACCTAATTGGGAATTTTTTATGCTTTGTCTTTGTTGCTGACTGTAACTAAATAAAAACTGTTATTTGATAAGATATTGTTCTATTGCCCGAAGTATCATTCCGGATAGTCATGTCTACTTAATGGAAGTACCATATATCGCAATTATAGCTTTAATTATGGTTCTAAGCGCTCATAGGCTCAGCCAGATATTCGCTTTGCGACCCTGCGAACGCCTTTTTGAGAGCACGAATAATCGAGTCAACGATGCCATCTTAAAATATGTTGAACCTTTGCTCAATGACGCTCCATACATAGCAATTTAACGAGTTAAAATCTCGGTCATCTGGTGACTGTATGCGCATGTTCCCAAGCAGCCAACCCTACACTAATCGGCTTGTATAAGCCTGCGCACCATCTCATGTAAAAAAAGTACGCCGTTTCTTCAGACATTTGAGTTACCATAGTCACAAAACAGTTGGTAGAAGATGAGGACAAATTTCGTTAGTGATGCGTTTACCCTTTTCCCAATCTAACGATATATTCTTTACTAACCACCACGCTCAGAACGTTTGGCAGAAAATTTACTTTGACCCACAGTAGACATGTCCTTTACATCAAGAGCAAACTGACGATCATTACTGTGGTTTATTCATGTATCGAAAATAAAATATTTCTTATCAAACAGATCGACATCAAAACTACGCCGGTCAACTCTTAGTTTCATTGTCTTCACAGAGTATTTGTCTTAATTTTACGATACGTGATGTGTATCCTCGTAAACAATCCGTAACTTACATGAAATTTCTTCGTTAGCCTCCCTAATTGAAACACAAGGATCATCGGAATCGCACTTATCGACCGTAACGATAACTGTGAAGGCCGCATTGTTCTTTCTCTATTGTGAATTTTTCATTGTGCTATACTGGAGTCTGCTTCTACCTCTGCTGCAGCTGCAAACAAATTTCTGTGGGAGGTTCGTACAACGCGTAGAAATTGGGTAATAGCTGGTTTTCGAAATCAAATTCCAAAGATGACGCACCGCTGTTTGTCACGGTTAATTTACTGCTTTGTTCTAAAAAGAACCGGCTTCCAGCTGATACTAGGAATAGCGTATAGATGCATGCCCGTGATGATAAACAGCCCGCTAAAGTTTGCCTCAATTTATGTGCCGTACTCTGTGTATGGATGAGGCGTGACTTAGGGGCCAAACTTGTGGTCGAAAGGTATCACGGGTTACTGTCTCGAATATCATTAACGGCACAAAAATACAGGCAATTTTTTCATATAAGGAACATTATTTTGTGTAGGACGTAACGCTAACAAATTTCTCACCTATCTATGTGTTACAATCATATATTCAAAAGAACTAATCGAAAAAAATATTTTGAATCTACAGTACTGAAAATTATATTTTGTTATAGCTAATAAGATCAGAATTATATGCAAGTAATTTGAAATTCTCATGTTGGGGGATGCTTAGAAGGAGTACTGTTTAATAATCAGTATTTGGAACAGTATGTCATCGACCTAAACAGATACGGAAATACACTAAGTAGCAGTCTGAAATTTCTTTGAGATACCGTGTTTTTATAGTACGTCTTGCAATGTCCAGTCTATAGTGTTAACGTTAGAATAATCATGTTAAAATCCAAGTAATAATTCGACGGCGGATTTTAAGCAATTGCTATTTCATTTCAACTGTGATAACAGTACACAGTCCAATTCAAGTTCAAGTGACAAAAGAAATAGGGAAAGTTAGCAGGTATCTTTATCCTTTTTTCACCAACTCAGGGCACATGAGGCGTACAAGAGAAAATAATACAGGGAGCGGCTTAGTTGAGCACTTTAGGCTAAATAGTATTTTGAGAAAGTGCGACTACCATTTAAATCAAGTGATTATAGTGATTCTACTATCTATAATTAGACAAAAACCCTTGGTGTCCTTAAGTACACATTAGAATGAAATTGGAGTAAATTTACGCGAAGCAGGGTCAAGTGAAGGCATGTAAAGATGGAAAAAACGGGCGTAAGAACTCGAAGCAGGTAGAGTTAAATTAAATTAATTGATCGAACGATGTCGACTTCAAGCAGTAGAAGAATTAACATCAAAGGGCATTGAATACGATAATACAAGTATCACTTAAGCCTAGATAATAGACCTACCTTGGAGAACGTTTAATGAATAAATCAGTGGATGGGGAGTATGTTAGCACGAACCCAACGACCAAACATTGCATAAGTATGGTCCATTAAATTTTTTCACCACGTTTTTATTTTTAAATAGATAGAGTTCATCTAAAAAATACAAAAATGCCACATGTTGTAACACATGGGTCAAGTGGGAACTTAATATTTTTTGAGAAACCATACCTGAACTGTACCTCATGGTACAGATTCACGGGAAACACCTGCATTATGTAATTCGTAGATGACATAATTTGGCAGATTCCTCTCACAAATAATAATACGACTACAATAATAACGGCTGAATTTTTTTCTATAGTTTTAGGCAGAGCAAAGAACCGGCATTTTCTATAGGCAAAAATATATTTCATGAAAAGTTCTAAATATACAGGTGTTAATTGAAAATAAAAAACAAACGACATTACATTAGGTTACTTACTGTTATTAAACAGATATAATTTTAGAAGTCTATTCATATTGTATCAAATCACACTGATTTGGGAAACTGCTACTGGCAAATTTGAGCTATGCGGCTTTGGTCTGATAAACAAGCTTATCAGGTAATTTGTAAAGATAAGCAAAAGATAACACTCAAAAGATAGTTCAAGAATATGTTCCTTAGGTTGTCTAAAATTAACACATTTTAGCTGGGAACGAAGCTGCGATTAAATGCAACTACCACATGAAATCTCACTTGAGCCAAATATTATTATGGTCTTATTATCCTATTAAGACAATTGGTAAAAGCTGAGGTTGAACAATAAAGAGTATAGTAAAAGATGTACCAATAGTCTGTTATAAAAACGTTTTGTTGTACGATCGTGCTGCAAACGACCCTGGTTAACGACAATTATTAGATCAACGGATGTATCGAGAATCAGATCCCCAGATCAATGCTATCTTTTTCTCTCCCGAATGATGGTGTGGTTTATCTGCTTAAAAAGTTCTAGGAGTTGTAAAAATGCGTCGTTTAATCATCTAGCTGATTTATGTTACGTGCTATTATGCGATGTTCTATTGCTTCAGACTCCATCTCCAGTACCCTTGTGTAGCATGTCAATGCTCCGACGGAATCGTCTGCATTCCCCAGATGTAGCAACAGGCTCGCTATCGTCCTTTTCTATAGACGCACGCTGGCTTCATTGTCGACTCATCGTTATTACTTATATAGCTTGTGCGTCTTATTTCCTTCGTCGTACTGTTTTGTCGACGACCTGTAAACCACTTTCAAGACCAATCGTTCATCAGCTTTCCGCCGTCACTCGTCATTCACTGACCACTCTACTTCTACTCGTTGGTATTTATGAATCTCACTCAGTTCTCTCGTCAGACATAGGATCATTAGGGTTGTTGTTGCCAGCTATCTGAAGTTCAGCGTTAGCTTAGTCGCCACTACACTGACTGTGTAAGGCATATTCATACGGAATATTAGAGTAAAAGTACTATGCATTGATTGGATGGGAGGGTTAAGTTTTTTTTTTTTTTTTATTAATAAGCAATAGTAGATAGATTTACATGGTCATTTTCTCTTGGTGTACAATGCCAAATAAGCCAAGGTCAAAATTATCTTTTAATGCATAACAATATTGTCCTGTTGAACATCTTGCCGAAAGATAGGTTTCTTTGCGATAGAGAGTCCTATTATTGGATTTTTGATATTGAAAGGCTATATATCATATTAATAAGAGGAAACAGAAAGACTGTCAACACGTTACGCAGGAGTTTCATGATGTCATCCGTCAACCGGCTAGCGCGAATTAAGGTAAGGTTTTCCCTGCCAACGTTATGAGAGATCTTGTAACCGAAATTACGCTGAACGTTGCCGTCTCGTTACATGTTACCACGTCCTCACACATTTATGTTTTGATATCACATAGTTTTACATAGGTTACCATCTTATTAGGCCGAGTAGAAGGTTTCCGGTAAAGCCAATCGATTGCACTAGTAGAATCTTCTAATAGGATCTAGTTTAATATCTTTTGGATGGTCGTTTTTACTATAGTAGGCGTGTGCCCAGACATTTTCACTAAGATGTTGTCGTTAGAAGTGGTGCTCCGGCATGTTTGGTCATTGAGCTCAAAAGGGTCCATATGCAACATTGTCTTATTTACTATGTTCGCGGTGGAAAAATATTGCCCAGAAAAAAATAAGTAGCCAAAGCTGAACGTGCAGTAAGCGTTACCGCTTGTTACTTTTACTTTAATTGCTTCAGAGCAGGTATCGTAATTTCAACAACAAGCCACGCTTTGGACAGCTCTAGAACGACAGTATCTGGGAGTATTCCGTGGAAAATATATGGCGCAATTGACGTGAAAGCTCTCTCTAGAGCTGTGAGTAACCTAGAGGACTGTTGTCAATAGTTTGCATGCACTAGGAAATATCGAAAAAATTAGAGAAAGTGTACGCCCAAAAATTCACTGGACAGACACAAGAGGTACCTGACGGTATTTCTGGCGTTACCTGAATGAGAGAAGAGAAAGCCACTTCTATGCGGAATCGTTACTGGCAATGGAAGATTAATCTTTTACGACATCTCTAAACGCACGTCATGCTGTAAGTAATCCAAACCCCAGGAGAATATTGCGCAAATAGGCCCGTCCGTTCGAACCGAAATTGGCAAATGGCAATCAATACAAGTTGACATTGCTGTATCATAATGCTACACCGCATATACTTGGTTGAACCAGCGAGCAGCGTTAACTGATCTTTAATGAAGAACTCCGTTTCACCCGGCGTACAGCTTAGTCACCGCTCTATCTCGTCACCACTTTTCTCGGTCGATCTAACATAGCTAGAAAAGCAAACAACAAACAGACAAACAACAAAGGCCGAAGTCCACAAATAAGTGTACAAACGGACTACTTACAAAAACGAAACTTAATCACTTTGCGGGATACATCGTCCGCTCAAAAATGGGCGAAAGTTATAGGAAGCGAAGGACACTACATTGATTAATATGTGCAAAGTAGTAGCTAAAAAATGAGAACTTTCTAGCCAACTTAATACATCTTATAGAGAATTTCGTGGGTACACCGCTACATTCGCAACACCGTTTTGTTGCGGAACACAAGTGTAATGTATACATTCGTTTTTCTTTACCAAACAAACGGCGTTAATAAAAATTAACTACTTAATTACAGAAGAATAGCTTTCTTACGAGTACTTACTGGAGGGTGCCCACTTAGCCGCGTCAGGTGGAGAGCTTTTTCAGGCCAGACATCGCACGATGTGTCGTCGATAGAAAACTATGTAGCCATCAATCCGTCATTGTATATAACATATTAACAAACTTTATAGCGTAGTAGAAATATCCTTCTGTATGCAAATGGCAAGGCAAACTCCGTATATTTAAATGTTTGCATCTTAATGTCAAAGGCAGTCACCTAAAATGCTACAGTGTCATATCAGGCAATATATGCGCTTTGACGTACCCGAACCATCGAGTCACATGGGTTGACATTTCACGTATTAAATTTGATTAACTATTTAAAAGTGAGCGTAGTTCTAACAAAAGGTTTTGCGCTTCATGGAAAGAAGAGAGCTTATGACATATTAAAGAAAAAAATATACTTCTCTTTATTTAAAGGCAACAACTAAAGATGATATTCATTACAATATCCATCCAATCGCTATCCAGCTATTATCGTCGCTGCTTCCACTGTCATCGGTTTTGGTCATCGTCCTGTTACCCGAAGCAAATGCGCGAAAGAAGGACAAAAGGAAGGGGGCGGTGAGAGACGCTAGAAGACAATGAATATAAAAGGGATGGAAGAAAAGGTGGGAGTCGAAAACCGCAGAAGGCTACTACTCCTAGAAGAAGAGGTGATAGAAAACAGAGTTAAATTTAAACGAAGACTAAAGACAAGGGCCGGGACAAAGCTATGGTCGACCGATAACAACAGGTCAGCTCCGTAAGTCGACAAAAAGCCATTACGGAACGTCATGGCTCATGAAGCAATCATTTTTACCATTGATCCAGCGTTATACAATTAATTTCCTATAGATTACTTTTTTTTTTTTACAAAACGCATTCCATGTCTGCTAACGCTGTACTGTATTAGTGACGCCTTGATAATGTCATTATGTACTTCTTAATCTCCAGCTTCTCTTTGTTTCTGTTGTACATTGGCCGTTTAGCTCACATTAAATAGGGTCTACATTCAGTCCCACCGGCCCACGAGGATAGACCCCCCAAATTAGTGCTTTCCATATTCGTTTTCGGCAAGTACGATTTAAAATAGTTTATATTTCCACTCGAACTGCCAAGTGGCTGAATTTAAAAATTCCCCTTATAATTTTCTTTTCATATAACAAGGCTGCTTTTGGTATAAAGTTTCTCATCTAAAATTATTCAAGCACGCTACCTGACAAACAAAATAAAGGGACATTTTGTATATCTAAAGAACGCGAATTCTATTCAAAAACTGTACATGAAAGTTTTAAACTGCTTTGTACCTGACCGTTTAACTAATATAATATGTGTCTCAGTTATTACCTATACAGACAAAGAATACTTCTCGTTGCATCAGCGATGCATTACGCATCAATGCCAGCTCCCAATACCAATAACACAGCATCTTAAATGATAGACAACATTAGCTTCTTTGTGCTACATGAATAGACCTCCGGTTACTTCAATTACACCTCCGGTGACGTAGGAGCTTTCGTTCGATGCCAGAAATCTAACCACCTGCAAGCGAACCCTCTGGTTATTCTTACCTGCATTGCACTCAAGTACCATTTTTGTCCTTTAAAGATCGTTGGGTATTACAGAGCTAACGTTACAACGTTAGGTTATAAATATATACATGTATATATTCAAACAACTTCAAAGTGTCCAGTTGTTTCGAATCAGGTACCTCCGCAACCTCTTCAGGCGAGCCTTTTCGGCGTAGCGGGATCTTGTCTACGACAAGCTTTGTGATCTTTTCGGGAACAGTTGTTATCATTGGGGTATCAATGAGACCCGGCATTACAGCATTGCATCTGTAAGGTTTGTTTGCATAGAAGAGAAAACATTACATAC